AACCCACTCAAAATGAGTGAAATAATGCCGGGATTCAAAAATACAGTCACTGACCAGTTTGTTAGGTGCCCCTGTTTGACTGCTTGTTAACAGAAATGTCAAAACATCCAATCATCTGGCAACAACTCGAGTTCATTCAGGCATTTAGATATGCTCAAGATAATCTGCGCACGTTCAAACCAAGAATCAAAATGCCGACTTTGAACATGGCGTGGTTGACCAGGCTGGTCTGAATGTTTCAGAAATTGGTGATCTGCTGGGATTTTCCCGCACAACCATCTCCGCGATTTAAAGAGAATAGCCTAAAAAAAAAAAATCACGTGAGCGGTGGTTCTCTGGGCAGTAATGCCTTGTTGATGTCAGAGGAGAATGTCGGACTGCTTTGAGGTGACAGCAACTCAAATAAATACTTTTTATAACAATAGTATGCAGAAGAGCATCTTCACCAAACCTTGAAGCAGATTGGGCTACAGTAGCAGAAAACCATACTAGGTGCCATTCCTGTCAGTTAAGAACAGGAAACTGAGGCTACAGTTCACATAGGCTCTGCACAGGATTGCAAAAATGTTTTGTGGTGTGATGAGTCTCAATTTCTGCTACAATTGGATGGTCGGATTAGAATTTGGCATCAATAACCTGAAAACATGGGTCCATCCTGCCTCTTATCAACAATTTAGGCCAGCGGTGATGGTATAATAGTGTGGGGGATGTTTTCTTAGAACACATTAGGCACCTTGTTAGCAATGGAATATCTTTTAAATCTCACAGCCCATCTGAGTATTGTTGCTGACCATGTTCATCCCTTTATGACCACAGTGTACTCATCTTCTGACGGCTGCTTCCAGCAGGATAATGTTAGAAAGTTTACTTGAGTGTAGGTCTCAAGCCAATCGAGCATCTTTCGGATGTGGTGGTCTTTACCTAGAAAGAGGAAATTGCAAAATACAGGACTGGAGGATAAATGGAACGCTAATAAGTTACAACACTTGTGGTTCCAGAAGTGTTTTTGTTTTTTTTGTTACAGCGATGGTCAGGGGTGGTAATGGCAAGGACAGGGTTAATGCTACAGCAACCTCTGTTTAAGCAGATGTTTACAGTGTGCTGCCTATGCGTCATGTGACAGCTCACTGTAGAAGCTTGAATTGTTTAATTTGCACCAGGAGGGAATTAATACATTTCATATATGCCTGTGGGGAACTGAATAATAACACCTGTTCATAAGATGAACTGAAAACAATAAAATGTAATATGATATATATATAAACTGTATATTATACATCATGTTTCTGACCACCAGGTGAGCATTAGCATTCAACCATATATTTAGTTTAAGTCTTTGCTTTTTTCATTATTATTATAATATTTACTTTTTTTGTCCTTTGTGGACTTTGGTTGTAAACACATTTACTGACTCCTGCCTCCTCCCTCTCTGAATCTCTCTCTCTCTCTCTCTGTCTGCCTGTCTCGCCCTGTTTGACATCACAGATGTGTTTATATATAGCCAGCAGATGGATTCTCCCATAACAGTCTGCTTCACTGGTTTTCTGTGCGTGAGCTTAGCCCACCGCCGGCCGCTCAAATAAGCTAGAAGAAATTCTTTGTTTACATTATGTCTGCTGATCTGCCCAGCCTTTAGTTCGTGACTACATCCATTATTCATGTATTCTCATTCACCATAAACGCACTCGCATGCATAGAGAGAATGTTAAACGTTAGTGCTGCTCAATATGCTATCGCTGTTCAGCGTACAATAATGAGAACTACTGTCCTGTAATTAAACTGGCATCCATGGAGGTCTTCACATAATATATTGTTGAAAAAACAAAAACAAAATAGTAGCAGTTATTTTTTTATTTATTTTTCTGTCACTGAATGATTGATTTATTTTGAGCATGACTAAAATAACAACAAAATACACTTTAAACAATAATGAGACAAAGAAAGGATTAGTACAAACAGACTTAAAGGTAAACTCATTTGATCCTACCTTAATATACAATATACATGTATAATTACATACCATTATATAAGTCTACAAACAGATATCACGCATAAAAATTCTTATTATTGTTGAGGTCAATTTTTGGTTTTATTTTTGCTTTTTTTTGGGCCAATTGAATTTTTTTGATTAAAAAAAAGAGGTCAACTTATATATCTAAAATCAGGCAACAAGCTGTTATTTTGTAACAAGATGGAAATCCTTGTTTCATTTGAAATGAAATCATTGTAAACGTAATGTGCAGTTTGTATATTCTATGAAATGTAATTCATGAAGGTAAAGCCACAACTGTGACCACACAGATGACTGCAGGAATTTTTAACATGCTTAAAAAAAACAAAAACAAAAAAACCCAGCAATACTGCAAATGGCAAAGAGAGCCAGAAACAAGTGATGTGACATTTGCATGACACACTGTAGTCCTGGTGTGATGTGCTGTACTCCTACTGTGGTATAATTGTGCAGCATGTGAGGTTTTGGGGTTCTTCTGGGTGAGAAGTAACTGGTGGGCATAGACTAACACACACCCTGTCTGGAGTGCTATCAAGTCAGTCAGAGTGAAACCGTAGACATCCCTGTGGATGGTGACATGTGTATGTGCATGTATACAAATCTTCCTGGGTCTTTGCCGCATGCTGGCAATGCAATAAAGGGAGTGGATGAGTGGAAGTGGGAGAAATTCAGTTAGATGCAAGTATTTAACTGTTTGCAGTGTGACATATCCGGTACAATAAAGTTTCATGGTGGGAGCTTGAACTTTATAAAACGTTGATAACTTTTTCAGATATCTTGGTTACGGTGTGATTAGTGGAGGACTTAAGGAGGAAGAGACGGGGTAGTAGCCCCTGCACATGCTACAGTGGCCTTAAATACCACTGGTATGCTAACAAATGGGTGAATAAGAAACCGTTGCAATGGGTTTTGTTGAACCACTGTGTTTAAGAATGCATTGTAATATTAATTTATTTTAATTACTTTTAAAAAAGGGAACAACAAAACTGCAATAGCACCTCTTGTGTTGAACAAAAATATTGAACACAGGCTGGTGAAGTGGATGATAATTATCTATTAGAACAAACACAGCACTTAACTTTGAATCAGGCTATATCTGTCTCAGGTCAATGCCTCATTCACTTTTTCTGCCAAATAAAATGCCTGAACCGGCTGTTATTTATTTAAATGATATTAAGCTAAAGTTTCTAAATGTTAAATGTGCTTGATAGCAGCCTGTCGGAAATACTGAATTCTTGTGGTGCTCAAAAGCAAAGCTGAATGCGTCACATCACTTTCACGATAGGTACTTCAAAAGTTTGTGAGTCTCCAAACACTGAGTCATTTAATGAGTATATAAACCATAAGTAACCGAATTACCCACTGGAGTACTGCGAGGCCCAACGGCAGAGCTGGATAATAATCTTATGACTAAGCCAGGCTTTTTTAGGGTCAGTTTATTGGCATTGTTATGGGTTAGAATGAAATTAGGAAAATGGCAGCTGTGTCCATGCCATATCATTATCAAATCTAATCCAATTTAACCAGACAATCCTCTTGAAATGGACAGAGCACTCTCTTGGGCTCATCTGCTCTTTAGCCCTGCAGAAATACTCAAGTTGCAGTCTGGTTTGTTTTCGTATCACATGTGGGTGCGCATCGGTCACCCCAGTGGTCAGCTGGCTTTTGGTCGCATGTCTTTATTGCTTCATAAAGTTCTAGGAATTATGATGTGTCGGGTTTTAAAAACAAGAATAAACTCACTGTAAACACTTATAGTTTTCACTCGTCACCATTTTTGAATTTTATGGGGTCATCACAACAAACGTCCCACACTTGCACAACAGGGACACTAATTTTACTTTGTTGACATAGCACATAATCTGCTCTGATGGCTACTTGTCAGATGTCACTGTGAGAAGGGACATGTAAAATGTTTTCCTAGTGCTACATGTGCACTATGAGGCTGTTCCCACAGAGTGAACCGATGCCACATAATCCAGGGGCTTTAAAGTTATTTCAATTCCAGGAATTCTCTATGGACTCCATTTATTATGCCTAAATATAGTTTTTTTTATTTGAGGAAGACAAAAGTGGAGGAAATCCACTTGCTTCATTTTCTGGCAGAAGGACAAGGTAGCAGAGTGCTTGCTTGTATCAAATCAGGAATGAGCGAATTTCTAGAGAGGAACAGCTGCATGCAGTGACTGTGCCAAACAAAGCATGTCAATGAAGTGCCATGCAACTCTGCTCACTCAGCCAGACACGAGAAGGCACATTAAAAGGGCTGCATGAGAACAACAGTTTACCCCGAGGAACAATTATGCCATATGCGCAATAAAATTAGAGTGGCCTCATACACATCTTGTTATTTGACTTGAACACACATATTCACCATTAATAGTAGCAGATGGATGCTATGATGGCGTGATGGGTGCAGTGACACCCTTTTTTTTTTTTTGTCCTAAAGAAATGTGTAGTTTTTGAAGGGTATACATAAGTTCAGAAACTTATACTACGTACAGTACATGCTCTCCATCTCCTACAGTCTTTTAACATGGCTGCTCTTTTGCAAACTTTCCTTGATATATATGATAGAAATCGTTCACCTGGATGTGTTTGAAAAGTGGGAAGCCATGCGGGCTGTTAAGTGTGCCATCATTTTAGATCCACAACAACCAGTTTGAGAGTTTTTATCAGTTTTTTTTTTTTTTTTTTAGAACTGTTAAGTTGCAGTATCCCCAGAAGTATTTTAGGCTCATGCAGGTATACGGTGAGTAACCCGAAGTTCTGCCACTCAGAAGGAACATGAACATGATGCTGCCAGGATGCATAGGCATTAAATGGGAAGTGTGGAAATAATGGATTATGACAAATTGCCTTACTGTGGGGGATAATATGTATAATTTGTTGTTGTTAAACAAACTGACTTATCTGCTTATAATCAACAATGTGTTCCTGTCGGTTTCCTTAATTTGCCTACTCAGATTTCGTTTCCATTTTTTTCTAGGAGGCTCAGAAGGTGAACAACCCCGCCAACAATCAGGCAGCCGACAGACCACCAAAGGGCCCTGATGAGAAGGAGGAGGCGCCAGCCAATGAAGTGGGATGGATGACTTCAGTCAAAGACTGGGCCGGTGTCATGATCTCCGCTCAGACACTCACTGGCAGAGTTCTTGTAAGTTTTCACTTTTCTGATGGGGATGAACATGTCAGATACCAAATCCAGACACACATACATCAGGTCTTTTTTGACATTAATCGTTTGGCCCAGCCACCGTTAACTAAGTGCAACAGTTTGGTCTTTCCTCAGGCAAAAGGACTGCACATAGTGTCCACAATCAAGTTGGCTTTTGGATAAATCCACTGCACAATCCACTGTCATGTACACGTTTCCTCACCTCAGTTAATTTTATCCTAGCAGAGGCTAGTTGAACATCAGTTGGCTATTTGGCTGGCACTGTCCGGCCTTTTTTGTGCTACAGTGGTTGTGCATGTACACACTTAGATGCGTATGAGGAAGATTTGTTAATGTTTGTTAACAATGAACTATGAAGTAAACAAACTCCTTGTCCTGTGTTGCTTTTAGTCGCTTATTTTACCCTCAGAATGTTTAGATATTGCACATTTCCATAGTTTGGCACAGAATTAGCTGCTCTGTGTAGTGAGGTATCTGTTAAGTTGGATACAATCTTGTTGGATCTCTTTCTGTTTCTCCTGTTGTTTGATTTTTACTATGACAAAGCCTAAAATAGCTTTTAATTTTTAAAAAGAAAAAAAAAAGTCTTTCCACCAGCACAGTTGCTGATGTGTTCTCCCTATAAGCATACCCATATGTCCTCCACAGACAGTCTAATGTCTGAGCACAGAGAGTTAACTATGAGCAGCATGCTACCTTTGCTACTTTTTAGACTGGCTGAGTTATGGAAAGACTTCACAGCACTTGATTAAAATTGAGGCCAATTTAAGTGTTGGGCAACATAGTGTGTACACGGTGCTTAGAACATTTATTAGTCCACCATCTGGTGTAAGGTTTATGCCACAGCTGCCCTAAATTAACAGTACTGGTAATGACCAAAAATCAATTTTTATGTTTCTGTAGTGTGGCTAATCCACAATTATGCACAAGGTCTTTCATTGAAATGATATTTTTAATGCTAAGACATAATTATTACTATCCATGAATTTTTCAAATGTAAAGTTTTATAGAAAAGCTGAAAAAAACCTAGAGCACATTATTTTATTTTTTTAGATTACCATGCCCAATTCCAGTTTACTTAGTATTTACTTATATTTCTGAAGATAAAAATGTGTTTTAGTAGTTGAATGTTATGCTTGATTAGTGTATTAGCTCAAATTTGTGTGTAAATATTTTCATTGCTGAGGTTTTTTTTTATAGTGGACTACCACAGTTTCTTTTTCTGGGCTTTTGTAATCATTTGTAATAATAATTATGTTTTCCTGCTAAATGAACTCAGTCTATTAAGGTTACAAATGAGCAACATTTGCTGACTGGCTCTGACGTTTATTTTATAATTTTGCTATCATGCTTGACTAATTTGACTTCTCAGAGACCAAACTCCTGAACTTGTCCCTACATCATTACATAAAACTGACTGGTTCTCTGTCCAGTTCTTGTGTAATTGGACACCCCCCACTCTTTTCTACCCGTTTCCTTTTCTTGAGTATGGCTTCTTGACAGAAAGCTTTCCATTGCGACCATTTCTGATGAAGTTTCAACGAACAGCAGATGAATTAATTAAAGGGTCATATGCATCTCTAAAGTTGTATGTTGGGTCTTTGCTGGATTTTTTTTCTCATTTTCTAAAGGACATCGCTTTCAGATATTATTTATCTGCTATAGATAGTTTTTTTTTTTGTAAAGTTTGCCACTGCTTCTTTTGTCCTCCACTTGTCATTTTTCCTCAAATATTTTAAGGTCACACTGTACACCAAGCCAACATATGCCTGGATGATTCATCAATGTTAAGTTGCTTAACTACCAAAAAGGACACATTTTTCTAATACGACAGACACGGACTAGACTAGATGTACAAAGAAAAACTTTCAATGACCTTCACAAAGCCTGGAGAACTATTGCTAAAGACCATTTAAAAATACTGATGGATGGCTCAAGAATTTTACGACAGAACTGTAATAATTAGTCAGGGAGCATCTAGTGCTCATTTTACATCAGCGTATGAAAAGTAGGTGTGTTTTGCACAGACATCTGCTGTGCATCTGTGGATTGAATGGAGCAGCAGTGGGAGTGAGGAGAGAGATGGATCCAAACTAAAATACTGACATTGTTAATGTTTGCTGGAATGTGACATCTTCCTCATGCCTGGTGAGAATAGCTTGCAGTTGAGAAAGATTCAGGCCTTTCATGGGGAAGAAGATGAAGAATCCCGAAGGGAACTGTCAATTTACTAAATGAGCCTCTCTTTCATCACTTCCCCACTCACACAGCTCCATTGGCATGGACACAGCTCCCTCTTCCCTTTCATCTCCTGCTCTGACTGAGTGCACCCAATCTGCCCTGTATGTACATTGGTGTGTGTATATGAGAGAGAGAGAGAGAGAGAGAGAGTGAGAGATAAATCAAAGAAACATATAGGGAGACACGCCAACAGAGAGAAAGATGGGCAGATTGAGAGTAAAACAGAGTGGTTGTGACAGTCAGGGAGAAATAAAGCACCGGCTGCTTTAGAGGGGTTTCTAGCCATAGTGATATCCCAGTGTATCGCCTACTGCGATTTGTGCTACTTGTGCTGGGGCTGATAATTCTGCCCAGCAGGCTGTGTTTGCTTACTTGCTCACTCTAATGATATGCAGCACAACTGAGTATTTACTCAAGTGAGTGCTACGTGAAGGTGAAGTGAGTACAGTATCTTCTCATGTGGGTGGAATTAACATTCGTGGGTGCATGTATGCAAGTATTTCTCAACATGTACTGCATACAGTATAAACATGATGGCTTCTGAGTGAGTTTGTGTGTATGTATGTGCATGTGGGTGGGTAGGTGAATTCTTATGTTATTAATATTATTTAGTTTTTCTTTTGCGGGGCTCTTGCTCTGCCATCGGTGCTTCACTGCAGATTGAAATTGCGATGAGTATCCGTGTACACAGAACCTGGCTGGTAACCATAGCAACTGCTGTGTAGTGGCGCTCAGTCATTTGACATTAGGGGGCCGTCTGCCTGGGCAGAGTAGAAATACCATGCACATGCAGTCTTTCTCTCTGTCTCTGTTTTATACACACACACACACACACACACACACACACACACACACAGGTGGGATTACATCTTGATGTAGACCTCATTCGGTTCTATCCAGGTGGAAAAGGGACAAAAGCACACTGGGAAGGATGGACTTTGGTAGGCGGAGTCCTCCATCCCCCATTCATTTGTCTGCCTTGATGACTTCCCTGTTTGTGAACAATCAGCTATACCCCCAGGCTTACTGAATTACCACAACAATTTATATGTGTTGTGCAATAATGAGTCCCATATATTATTTTGGAAGTCTCAGTCAAGTCCTCCGTTAAGGTTAGAAACTGACTTTCATGTTCAGATTCGTTGCCTAAATCTAACCACAGATGGGAGCCTGGTTGTCTCCTTTGTACTATTCATGTGTTTTTTACAACAGAGTTCACCCCAACAAATTCCTGCCAACTTACGGTGCTACCTTCATTCAGAAGAAAAAGTTACCTCTGAGCACCTGACCAGTGGGAAAGCAATTGTAAAATGTATTTTGGAGGTTAGGAAACTATGTTGCTCCATACTGTGATGAAATGCTAGCACGAGTAAGGCAATGCCTGTGTTTTTTTTTAAATGATGTGCAGTGACTTTACTGAGCTAATTTGTTCTGATCAGAAAGAAATGTTAATGAGCACACATTCGCCTACGCTGCATGGCCATCAGGACCGGACATGCTGCATGGGAATTGATCATTCTGGTTGTTGGCGATCATGTTTTGAAAAATAATCCCATTGGTGAGCCACAGGCTGCACAAGTAGAAAATTGCACAAAAACAAAAAAGTGTGTGTGTGTGTAAGGCAAAGGTGCTGATAATACATTTTTTCCTCATCATAGCTTTTGTGACTTACCCAAAAGACCCCCACAACAACCCCCTCACGTAGTATATCCAACATGTCACCAACAAAAAAAGATGCCAGTGAGATGAAATGTTGCCTGCGTGAGCCAGTGTTGTTCTGCTGTATGGGTTAGTAGTTATTGTTGTTTAGCTCTTTTTTTTCTCCACATCTTTGTAATACCGCTTTATCAAATACAAACACTAAGTTTGCGTCCAAGGGAAAACATGTATGTTTTTAACACAGTGATTGAAATTAGAAGAGAAGAAAATCACAGCATTTTTAGCAGTTTGTGATGAAGACAAGTGGAAAAAGGCTTATGCAGAGCAGCAACTAATTGACTGTACTGTGCACTCAGAAGAATGTGTCTCCCTGAGCCCTTATGAGACAGCTGTCCACGCAAAGGGACAGCGTACGGGAACATAGGTGGAAAAAGAGCGCACCTCCGGTCAGGCTGTGGATAGCTCATCAGTTACTTCGACAACCGTATCATCCCAGTTGTTTTGCTGAAAGACCTAATTAAGCACTCAAGGGCACAACGTCTGAGGAAGCAACTACTCGGACAGCTGGAAATATGAGTTGGCTGACTTCTTGTGCTACATGAGCCCAGCGTATCATCTAATAGATTCCTGCATTATTGTTACAGTGACAATGTGTGTAATCCCATAAGGTTCAACAAAAACAGCGAAGGATTATAACCACTGAATGTAGATATTTCCCCTATCTCCCGGTGCAGTGGATTTGCCTGACACGGTGGGTCCAGAAATAGGTCAGTCCTGCCATCTTTCTTAATGGGATCTCGGGTGGCAACCAGAGACCATCTGTTCACATGGCACGCTCCCTAAACCCTATGGTCATCCCTCTGCCTACCATCCACCCACACACTGCACGGCACTCTGCATATCGACCCCTATCATCTGAAAATACAACACATCTGTTTCTCTTTACAGCTAAGTGATAACACTTTCATTTTAACTAGTGCTGTGACAAATCCACACCTTTTTTTCTTTTTTAGCCAGCTCCTTTTATTTAAGCACTTCAGTAAAATGATAGAAGTCAAAAGGACAGGAAGCACAAATTT